AGAAATGCCTTTCCTGATGATCTTAATGCCTGGGCAGGCTCATAGAGGAAGGTGCCATCTTTTAGATGGTTTGGGCCCATATAAATGGAGAGAGCTGAACACTGCGGAAAGAAGACCTATGGCTATGAATTTGGAATTAAAGGATTTAAGGACAAACGTTATATGAAAAGCTGCCTGTTGTTACTATGCACCATGTCTGGGCGAGGATGACTAATGGTGATCCATTCTGAGCTGAACAAATGAGAACAGCTTTCGAATTTCTAGATGGGAGCAGAAAAAAGCAGAAAACTCATTCTCATTAGCTTGAGAAGATTTCAACTCTGATTAGCTGACGGATCCATCCAAATAAAAATACACCCCCCCAAAAAAATTCTGTTTGAGCCTGGAAAAGTATAAAATCTGGCTGGAGATAGTGTTTTGGGTGGGTGGGTTTTATGAGATGCCGGATGCTGTTTGTATTGCCCTCTGCAAAGACACGATTAGGAAAGAGGTGGGCTAGAATATAAGGCAGCAGACACTCAAATGGAAAGCATTTGGTTTTTAAAACAATCCCACCCCCTCAGTGTAAACAAAAACAAATGATCCCTCTGGCGTAGCTCCCGGCAAAATATTTATTCCAAATTGGAACAGCAGGGGGATTTCAGACTCTGCCTGAAATGATGTTTCTTTCTTTCTTTCTTTCTTTCTTTCTTTCTTTCTTTCTTTCTTTCTTTCTTTCTTTCTTTCTTTCTTGGTATCTAGAAGGAAGACAACTTCTGATGCAACCTTTTGCAATTTGTGGGTTGATTCTTCCCCTTTGTGGGGAACACATGCCGGACCTTGTGGGACGACATGCGCAGAGATTAAGGAACTGTGAGAGCCTCTTAGAAAGTGGAAATGGCTTGCAAGCCAGAGATGGACTGGTTTCCAGGATTGTGGCACCCCTTAAGTGCTGGGGAGTGGAGGCATATGTCCTTGTGGGTGGAAAGCTCTTGAGTTCTGTGGACAGTGGGTGCCCATAACCCAGGGATTAGAGTGTCACAGAGCCTCTGTGTGAAAGATGAGTGGGAGAGGAAAAGCAAGAAGGGATGGCAATGCAGGAAAACCACAGGCTCACCATTTTCCAGTATAATATTTTCCACTGGAAGATGGCTCTAGCATCAGGTTGTGGTGGCTGCTGACTCTATAGAATCATGGTAGGGTTGGAAGGGACCTTGGAGGTCTTCTAGTCCAAACCTGTGACCAAAGCAGAACCTCATTCCATCCCAGATTGGTTGTCCAATCTTTTCTTGAAAAGCTCCAGCGATGGGGCACCCATGACATCGGGAGGCAAATGCTTCCTTATTTCCAGGTTGGATCTCCCTCTGACGAGTTTCCACCCATGGGTCCTTGTCCTACCCTTGAGGCGCCATGGAGGATAAATCAATGCCCTCTTCCTTGTGACAAACCCTTCAGATATTGGAAGACGGCTATCATGTCTCCCCTCAGTCTTCTCTTCGTTAAGCTAAACAGACCTAGTTCTTTTAGTTGTTCTTCATAGGATTTAGCCTCCAGTCCCCAGTGCAGTTCCAGGGGTGCTGTGAATCCATTGTGGGTTTTCTCTGTGCTTTATAGAACCTACTCAAGGTACTGAAGGTTCTGCCCCTTGGATCACTCCTGTAAAGCACAAACTAAAACCCGGGGTGGATTCTTAGCACCCTTCAAATTGGAGTCACCACTACCAGTGCTGTCTGGATTTTTGTCCTCAAGGTTCATTCCGAATCTCCTTTCTTATAATGGCGATGACGGACCATTTCGGAATCCTCCGTGAACAATTCTGTATAAACAGATGCTTCTAATGTGAAGGCCGGACGACTTTGCAGTCTTGACCGTCGGACCTCACATATGCCACGTCGAGTGCATCTTCAAGTCGCCACTTTCATCTGGCAGTGAACCAACAGAGATCAAATGCGACACAGACAAACCATTAAGTAGTGCTAATGCATGGGGAAATGTCTCGCCAGAATGAGGCCACACATCAGTGTTTCTCAATTGAGTTTGGTCACAGAGTCTGCTACCAAAGTGCTCAGGTGTGTAAATCACCTTCTAATTCAATTTTCAAGCAGGCTTAGAAGAAAAACGAGTCTCTAGGTAGAGCTTTCTCTCTCTGTGTGTGGCTCTCTAACTTTTTGCCCTGCGCTTTAACAACCAGATGAAGCGTAATTTCCCAGCCCTTTCCACAAACGTATCCAAGGCCACTAGATATTACTGCCAATGCCCTGTAACTTTCTTATGATATATGGACTGGAGATTGTAGAAACGGCTGCAGCTAAGAGACGAGGTGCTCATTGCAGGTTAGTCACACATGCCTGGTTGTGCATCTGGCGTGCACCATGCAACTCACCCTCAAATTTGCATGGCCCACCATTTCAAAATGAATTTATTGAATTTTCAAGTGAAAATTTGTTGACATTGTTCAGTTTCCCATCACTGGGAAGAAATTGGAAATGGCAGGTTGGGTCATCACTCCATCCTTTTTGGGATGATATACAAGCACACCCACAGAACATACATGCAACTTTGGAAAAGGCACAAAAAGACACTTTCGTCAACGGAGGGTAATGGGTACAAATATTGTATGAAAAATTTGTTTAAAAAATACATCACTTGGATAAATAGGCGGGGGGGGGAAGCTCATGCATTTCCCTGTGAAAACGACCACACGCATCACAACTTAAAATGACCCAAAACCACAAAGCAAATGCTGATAAAATCTGGAAAAATGCAATAAAGCCTGAGAGCTTTAGAGATTTTTACAACCAGTCCCCCCCCATCAAAAAAGGTCATTTTCTCTTTGTTGAAACCTCTAGGATCAATAGCTAGGCATTCACCTAAACATTCTGTTCAATCCCCCCATCGCGATCACTGAATGTGATTTCAAAAATAGATGTCAAAATAAAACAGCGATGAATGTAATGCCCTGACTGCTGCTGTTGCAGGTTTCCTATCTGCAATTCTGAAATTGTCCCCTGCTTCTCGCTCCTAATTTGCGAAATCTGTGTAATTTCACTTTTTCTATTTTGCTTGTGTGGTTGTAACTTGTAAATGCCATTAAAGGTTTCAGAACCAAATAAAACAGGAAGTCACCATCCAGTCACTTCCTGTTTTGATTTTCTCTCTCGTTTTCCCCATTTTTCCCACATAACACCCCACCCCTCAATAGTTTCAAAGCAGTTGCATGATTTGCACTGTGTTCTGAGGTGGAATCCCTCAGTCCTCTCTACCTACCCCTACCTGGACTTAAAAAGTGTAAAGACACATATGTCTGTGATGCTAATTCCCTGTTTCCCCAAAAATAAAACAGGGTCTTATATTAATTTTTCCTCTCAAAATGCATTAGGGCTTATTTTCAGGGGATGATTTTTTTTCATGTACAACCATCAACGTTTATTCAAATACAGTCATGTCATCTTCTGGTGGCTACCCAAGGGTGGAGGGCGGGGTTTCACTTAACTGGGGCTTATTTTTTGGGGTAGGGATTATATGATGAACATCCTGAAAACTCATACTAGGGCTTGTTTTCAGATTAGGTCTACTTTTAGGGGAAACAGGGTAATCAATAAAATAATGTGTAACTCAGATGAGGAGTGATGAGAATCCAAGACTTGACACCACACAAATGTTATCCCCACCCCTTTAATGAAATTTCAGATTAAGCATAAAAAGTCCATCAAAAAAGAAACCCTCTCAGCTATCTCGCTTTTCTGATGTGCGAAGAGTCCT